TCCTCATTTTACCCACCTCATGTTATCCTTTGTCAAACCCGTACTCTATATGATCTGATCTTACTTATTCTTAATCCTTTTCAATCAATAACCGATTTCCAGACTTCTAGATTTTGAATAATTTCTTTCCCATTTTCTCCTATTAACACTATATCGTCAGTGAACAACGTGCACCACGATACCTCTTATTGTATTTCTCTAGTCACTATAGAAAATAAGTAAGGGCATAAAATCGAATTTATCCCTTAAATCTTCTGTTACTTAGCCTACACTTTTTACTCTGGTATAAGTGTTATCATACATATCATCTATTATTTTTTCAGTATAATCACAAAAAAACTATTATAAATAATTAGACATGAAAAATTATCGACTATTTTGTCATTTTCATATCCATTCGGCAAATTATATGTATACAAATTTAGGTCCGATCCTGTCCAATCTGATTCGACCTATTCAAAGAATATTATAATCGTAATTAAAAAATTTTAATTTTCTAAGTTTCAAGCATTAAATTTATATATTATATAAATTAAATGTTATAATGAATGTGTTTGATAATATTTTTCTTCTAATTATACGGTTCAGACCAGAATATATGAATTAGGTAATAGTAATATTCGTTTTGCAACTTATTGTATTTCTATCTATGAAGTATTTGAGGGTCTCATCCAAATAAGTCTAAGAACGTCTATAGTCTTCAATGTACCATCAAGAGTTCACCATGGGGTCCATTCCTATTCATGTTATTTATGAATTGGGATATATCTCTGTTTTTAACACTGATAATCCCTACTGTTTACAAATGACCTGAAGTTTTACTTGTCAATTGTAATAAATAATGATTGTGTTAAAGTTCAGTCTTGTTTGATAAGATTTTTTGATTGGTACCAAATAATTAAGTATATATTAATACTAGTAAAAGTTCACAAATCATTTTTACTCGTAAAAAAAGTATAAGCAATTTAAGTGAATGATTGTAGAATTATTTGTCTTTTTCAGAATACATAAGTTTTATTATAAGCGTTTCTTCAACAATAATTAAATTAATATTTATTCAAAGTGTACCATTTTTAATGCTTATTTATCAATTATTATTTTATTATTTATAAAGTAATATTATAATAGTTAATACTAAAAATTAAACGAATTTAAAAGTAAGCGTTTGATAAAGAAATAATCTTTTTCCAATTAAAGATTATTTGGGTTGAATGTAAAATATATCATTATTTAATCGACAAAATTTATTTACTGATTCCGTAAGTGATTATATTATGGCCATCAATAAATTCGCAAAACAAAATATCTTTCTTGAAATTTATTTTTTTATTTGTTTAGATTACGTACATATTTGTAACTATGTTTAAAACATAAGTAAACAGTTTAAAACGTTGAAAATGTCACATAAGACTAATGTTATTAATTTTTTTAACACGTTTAAAATGTTGTTTAAAACACGCAGTAACAAACCTCATTGTATTAAAAGTACTATAAAATAAACTGAAAACGTAGTGAAGACGTAACATGTGTTGATAAAATATAAATTATATCTGACAGTGTTTAAAATCACTATCATAAATAACGCTTCGATACATGTCTGTAGATAGTGTTTAATTTTTTGAAGGAATTGTGGGATTATTTCAAAAGCAACATTAACTCCTATTTCCTTAATTATATCCTAAATACTAGTTTAATGGTTCTTAAGGACAATACATGCATAAATGTATTATATCAATTTTATGTTGAAAATATTAAATTAATATTTTAACACAAAAATTGCATGTTTTTTTATAACGGCATCCATTTGCTCATAGAAGATAAGTTGTCGGAACAATTTTTTTCTTAACTAATAGTATGGAAACTAAGCTTTAATTTAACATATGTTTGAAGCTTGGAGTATTTCTGGAACACTTTCAAAAGTTAAGTTGAAAATGTTAACTTTTCATGTAAAAGTTGCCATCCTCCTCAATGGGATGTATACAAATATTGAAAATATTTGAGGTATATATAAAAACAAAAAAAATTGTTTTGATTTTGAAAAGTTATGGCAATGTTAGTAAAAAAAAGTTTAAAAATTGTGGAATTTAGCTATTTAAAAAATCATAACTTTTTAAGAGATTTCCCCTATTTAAGGGAAACAGAGGAAATTTATTCAATTTATGAGTAGTATTCAACCAGATGTAATTTGGGTTTTTTTTGAAGGTATCATTGCATAGAATTTGTTCATTGAAAGCTGGGCAAAATAATGAGAGACAAAAAAATATATAAATACATCATTATAAAATGATCATATTCTTAGCTTCACATCGAAGCTAAAATAAAATTTGGAAACTTTAATGTCAGCACCTTAATTTTATAAATCAATGATAAGAATTCAAGCCGTGTATAAGAAAGCCGTTGGTTAAAGTATATTAATTTTGATAAACAAAGGAAAAAGGTCATTCGGAATGCAACCTAATTATTGTTTATACATTAAAAATTAATATTTAAAAATATAAAAAATTAAAAAAATCAACTTTTAAATATGTCGTTCAAAATTTCTTTAGACATATATTAAAAGGAAAATCATCAATAATATTATAATTTCAATGAACGGATGGTGTTTGAATTTTTTGTACTAGATACAAAAGACTTAATCGAACTAGCAAAATTTTCTAATGTATAGTATAATGATAATATAAATCATATTCTTATAAATGTATTTTTAAAAGAAATATACATAAGAAAGGTTAAAATTTCTGTCCCCTCGGCAAAATATAGAGTATAATGAGTTCGATTTCTCAATTTCTGATAACTAACCCATAAATTACGTTAATTTGACTGCCCATAATTAGGGACCCTCATAGTCTAATTGGTATTTAGCACTTAATAACTATTGTTAGAAATGTCATGGGTTCTTATCTCCCTATTCGTTTTTTACGGGTTTCCAATAATGCTACCGAATAGATAAAAATAAGTAATATTATGCATGAACAACAAAGATTCAAGTTAGATATTCATTAGTAATTACTTTACTTTTATTTTTTTGATTACTTTAAAAAATTATTTTTAGTGTGGATTAAGAATAAAGTAACTTATTTAATTGAGCAAAACGTTTTTTGAATCTTACTAAATATTGTGTACGTATACAAATTTATAAATGACATATTTTTTATACTTGCTTTTATTAATTTATAAATGATATATGACTAAGATTATATCCATGAATTTTACTCAATTAATTATAATTTTATACTTAAATGTTAAATGTTATCATTATCATATTTAAATACGAATATTGTAATAACTTAAGAAATTAAATATAGTCAATTTTCTAATGGAAATATTTGTAAACTAATATTAATTTCTGTGAAAGGAAAACATATACTCTAACTTATTTTACGTTATATATTAAAAAATGAGAGCAAAAATTAAATAAATGAAGGCAAAACGCGAGTTAATTTTATGAAAAACATTTATAAAAATGATAAAATTTGGCGTTTTTGAAAATTATGATGGATTGGATACACAAATTAATATTTCCTGAATAAATTTTCATGTTAAATTTAATTCAATTTTTGAATTTATTACTATAAAATATAGAGCAGTATTGTCGTAAAAAAACATTGAGGTATGGTAATGTTTTCTGATAATGACACAAACTCATTTGTCTTTTAGGTCTAACGAAATTATTACTATCGAAATAATAAAAAAGTTATTAAAGGGTATATCTTAAGTTTTCTTCTAATTTCTGTATTAGATGGCGTATTATACAAATAATTAGAATATTATATGAGATAAAACATGTGCAAACGTTTTAATAAATTCAATTACGGTTTACAATATTCAAGATTTTGATAAAAGACCAAAATAACTATAAAATGTTAATATTTCAATCCATTTATTTAGTTAAACAAATTTTAAAAATATTTAAACTAATATTGACAAATAATACACTAAGAAGTTTATTTTCAAAGTTTTTTTTCTTTTTGCAAACCTTTGCGGCTATTACTTTCCATTGCATTTCGGTCTCCACCAAAGTGGAAATTTCTTAAGAATTCATATTCTAGGATAGTTGGTTAGTCTGTTGTCAAGAGAAAGTTGGCGACTCCAATTACTGAATTTATCTCTTGCTCAGCAAACAGACTCACTTGTGACAGAGTATCGAATCCGTGACAGTGCACATCAGGCACTGTCTAGTTGAGAATTATTTATTTTAATAAATAATTCAATATTTTAATTTAAAGTAACTTTTAATGGGACTTATTTAGTTCCATTAAAAGTTATTTTGGTTAAAGTTTTACATCGTGGATTTTAAGATTTTTATCATATTCAAAAATTGTTTTAATATTAGTTTTGGTAATAAAAATTAAAATTTTAGATTTAATACTATCTAGACCAACAAAAAATGCATTAGTCATATTTTTTAATAATTTTATAACAAAATTATCAAATCAATTATAACTTCAATTATATTGAGGTAGATTTACCGCTTGCATTTTATAATTATAACAATTGTTTATGTTCTTAACAATAAACGCAGATATCAATTTTTTTAATTTGAATTGCAGTATTGAGAAACTTTTCATCAAGATATTATTCGAATAATTTTTGAATATTATTACTTGAGTAAACATAATAACTACTACGGCTACTAATAATAATAATATTTAAATCAAATTAATTTTAACAATAATACATTTTTATTCAAATAAATTAATTTTAATATTAGTCCTAAAATTTTTACTTAAATAATGATAGATATATTTTAAATATTTATTATTGTTAAAATTAATAATACTCATTTCATATAGTTTACACTTTCCTGCCCCCGGTTTCATTAATATTTTATTAAAATCTTTCATATAAAAATTCTAAATAAGAACTATTTTTTAAATAAATCTTAATTTTAATTTTGAATTTTAAATTAAATGCAATTATTTATTCTAATACTAAATATTCTTATTAATAAATATTGCCGACTTAGTAACATATATATTAAGAATTTATTAATTACTTACCATAAAATTTTATCATTGCGATATTTTTGGAATGTGATTTTATTTGTTTAATAAATTTTCATAAATAAAAGAAGTATATAAATTTAGGATAGTTCACTCTAAATAGTTATTTACAAATGCAAAGCTATTTGACAGCGGTAACTATCACTTGAATAAAGCATTGTTTGGGTTGATAATGAAACTAATTACTTTTTATTCAAGACTGTCGAGTTATCAATGATCATGTGGTGACATTTATAGGTCATGATAACATTGAAAAATTGTATATATTACAAAACATTCGCTGACTTTCTGTTCCTTTAGATAGTTGCAAAAATATATAAGAATCATAACTAAATCTTAAATTTTATGAATAAAGTTGTTTAAGTATTTGTTATCTCAATGATATATAAATTAGAATCTAACCGATCGTGCATATCTATTGCTATAGACGTTTAGATTTTTCCCAAATCGAAATTTTAAATATGATAAAATCAATACGCATCAGTCAAGAAGATCTAAAAGGGGGTTAGGAATTTGCAAAACTATTCTCTTCGGAACTTGATTGATCATACTAAAAAACAATTATGAGCTTAAAAAAGGTCTATGAGGTCAAAAAACTCAAAAGGTTGCTATTCGAAAATATTTTTTTTCTTAGTACTCCTATAGTAAAATTTTACACCAGAAAAGGACATTATATCACAAAATAGTAACTTATTATAAATTTGTTACTTTACTCTTAATAAAAAGTTGGGCATGATTCTAAATTACATAAATTTAATTCCGTTACTTATAATAACTAGACATAGTATTATACAACTCCAAATTGAGTGTAAATTGAACAAAAAGCTAAATCAATTTCATAAAAAGTGAATTTGATGTCTGTTTTCCTCTGGAGTACAGATTTGTTATATCTGCAATTTACTGTTTATAATAACACAATGAGAAGTAATTAAAAGTATTCATAAACATTTGTATCTAAATAATTAGTTTAAGATATCCATTCTTATTATTTACTTAATGTAAAAAATATGAATAAATGAATGACAGGATGTCTTAGATCTAAGTGACAATGTTTATTACATTTGATACACATAATATTTTAAATAGTTGTTGTCCTTTCAGACTACGTTTATAACATTTTTTTTATTATAAATCACTAATAAAAATTTTTTTTTTAATTGTTAAATAGTCATTTTGTAGGTCTATTCTTACAGAAAATGTTAATGAATCAATTACAATTTTATGGCAAATAATTATTGAGTTACAAGCATTTTAATTTACTCACAGAATGAGTATGAACAGCGGACAGAATATATGTAAACCAGTACGTAATTTCTAAATAAAAAATAATAGCAAAAGTAAAAATCAGCGCTGAAAAGATTTTATCTTTCACTTTTATTGTTTGGCATTAAACAAACAACAAATGTCCTACTTAATATAATTATTATTAAAGCTCTATTACTTACTTAAAAAAAGAATTTTATTCTTCGGAAATAAGATCAATTAACGTTTTAATAGAAGAAGTGATTTAATGACTAAAATAATTACGTTAATATAATCTTTAAATAAATATTTTTTTGAAAATGATGCTATGGATACCAAAGTAAAAAATTATATAATTCATTATTTATTATGTAGCAATTTGATAATTCAATCTAGTTGCAATATATACCACAATAAGGCAATCAAAAATTGTATCACTTTCTTGGCGTATAATTAAAATATATCAATATATAAATTTGTTATAAATCTATGTGCAAAACATTTTATTTAGGTTACTCTTATAAATAATACCTTAATAGTTTAGGTAAAACTTTTCTTTTGATTCGACCATTTTTATTTTCAATATTTTCCTCCTCAAAATTTTGTTTACTGCATTTCTACATTGATCTTATAATCTTATCTTTATAAGATATATGGATTTCTATAGTAATTATTAAATAGAGATAATAAAAACGTTACTAACTTTTTATTTTTCTTTTTCCTTAACGCTAACTTGGGGTCGGCCACGATTATCCTAAACTTTCACTTGACTGGATCTCCCACATCAGCAAACCTCATATCGCATTCAATAGCATCCCTCCATCTCTATTTTGGTCTTCCTCTACCTCTTCTTCCTTCAACATTCATTTCTATAACTGTTCTTACAGCTTCCGATTCTTCTCTCCTCATAACATGACCAAACCATCTAAGTCTATTTTCTCTCATCTTATCCACGATTGACGCTACACCTATACTCCATCTTATATGCTCGTTCCTTATTTTATCTATTCTAGTCACTCCACTCATTCATCTAAGCATTCTAAACTCTGCTAAACTCAGCCTTTATTGTCTACTTTATTGTGAACCACTCAACACTTTGATCCATACACTTATCTCACTACAGTCTCATAGAACTTTCCTTTTAACCTCATTGGAATTCTCTTATCACATAACATACCAGACGCTTCACTCACTCACACTTAATTCTGTGTCTTACATCCTGGTTAATATCACCGTCCGTGTACAACTGATCTTAAATACTTAAAACTTTCCACCTCTCCTATCACGCCCTGGTTTATTTTCACTGATTTCCTCATTTCACTTACCTAGTGTTCTCCTTTGTTTAATTCATACTCTATATACTCTGTCTTGTAGGGTGAAAATGTTTTTATTAACTCAATAGAAATCATCCAAAAGTTTTTTTCGGGTGGTGGGCGGTTGCGGATGTGCCTTGTCGGTGGCAGCGGCAATGGTGATGACGTTGTGTACACTGTTACACATGACGTCACAACTAGTAACTAAAACGTTTAACCGAAAATGTTTGTGTACTATTGCGTTAATTTTATTATGATGTATATGATAACAGTATTTTAAATACTATTAGTAATAAGCACGTATTACATTTAAAATAATTCCCTCCCACGATGTCATGATTAAAAAAATATTAGTTGAATCTATAAAATTATCAATTAATAATATAATATATAGTATTAATAGATTATATATCAATTAAAAAGTACACTTAGTTAAATTAAAAATTATTTAAACTACCAAAATGTGGTTTGATATTCAAAAATCTTAACTTTGAGGCTCAATCTATTGTATTGAAATTATTATCTATTCTATTTCGTTTGTTGTTTCAGTTATTTTTAGAATTAGTTTATCGGATGATAAAAGTTTCCAGTCAGTTTCTTAATATCAGTCACCAATTTAGCTATTGTAGACTCTAGATTTCATATTTTTTTTATTCTTTTACTTTCTATGGATAAATCAAATAAAAAAATATGTGTCTTATATACTTTCATTCTTTCCCAGTAGACGATCGTAAGTAGTTTAAACGTACTCACCCATTAGTGTAGAATATATGTGGATATCATATTTATTTCATTTTTAATTTTCGGAAAACAAAACACTGCCATTTTACGTTTAATTAGCGTATATTAAACAATCGACTTTCGTTTATAATTGGTATGACATTAGTTAAAACTAAGTTTTTTACCGCTAATGTTTGGTTTAACTTTAGTTAATTAAACGATAATATCACGTTTACATTTTGCTTAAATACCGTTTAAACATTGTGTAAATATAGTATAAACGCTGTGGAACTTAGGTATAAACACAGTTGTTGTAACTCAAAGTATACGTGTATGTTTCATTTATTTTAGATATCATATCTAAAATAAATATAAGTAACATATAACAACGTATATTATATACGTGTTTATTAAAACTTCGAACTTAAAAACTCAATTTTAAAATAACGAAAACGAGACTCCGAGAAAATGATTAGAGAAGGTTGGATAATTTTTGCGTTGTCCACAAGCATTTTGAAATTTCGACCGTTTTCGAGAAAATCGCTCGCTGACGCCAGCGTTTTACGACTTAAGGTTTTAAACTTTCAACGGATCCGCCCAAAGACATTTTTGAGACATCATAAAAAAATAAATCAATCCGTCAGTTTTTACCGTTCTACGAGCTTTTTTTATTCATAGGCTTGAGACGCCAGAGAGTACCACCCGAATTTCTTGCGACACTTTACGACATGAATATTATTCTCTGATAATAAATATTTGGCAAACAAAACATTACTGCTAACATAATAATATTACATATTCTCTAACCTAGAACTTTTAAATTAATTTAAACTTAAAATCGTGATTTCTTATTTTGTTTATTTAACGCGTTATCTTATAAATTTAAGTATTATAATTATAAAATGTGGTAGTACAGAAGTTTCACTTCAGTCAGGGAATCAATACTAGCTTTATTAAGTTTCTTATATATCTATAGCTTGAACATTTTTTTAATTATAGTATTCAATTATTACTTTTAGATGTTTTAGCTGTTACATTTTTATTCTAAATACATATAGGTGATTTTTTAAATATCTTAAAAAAATATTTTTTTTTAATTTTAATATTTTATAAATGTTTTAAATAATAATAACAGTAATGAAAATGTAAGTGTGAATACTAAATCTAATAGATTTCTTCACCACATTCATCTATTACTGTATCATATTCCAAATATGAAACATATAAGCCAATTTCACAGGAAATATATTAATAAAATTTTATTCTTATTGTAGTAATAGACAGTTAGCCAGTTAATTAAATAATTATAACACGTAAAGACAATTTCTGAAGAATATATTGCTGATAATAATAATAATAATTCTTGCATATAAATTAAATATTCTAGAGATAATATATCTACGTCCGGAAAAAAATAATCACACAGTTATGACCAATTTGCAAGTTGACATTTTAATCAAGACCAGCGTCTGCGTGATCGGTTCACCTGTCCGTCGGCGACCCGTATGACAAAACCTGTCGTTCGTGAAGAGGAAGCGCTGCAATAAAACCGGAAGTGCGATGCGACCGCAACATTCTCCCTCCCTAGTCTGACGACCCATGTGTGAACGGAATCGTTTGCCGGTGATTTGTCACTCGATTTGCGGTTGGGCCCTCCGGCTTATAACTAAAAAAGTATTACCTAGCTAATAATTCAAGAATAATATGTAACTAGAGGTAACCAAAAAAAATTTGAATTATTTTTATTCTGTAAATAATTGAGTGGTTTATGATAAAAAAATCACTCTCTTATTAATGATACTGTGACTTTATCATCAAATTTACGTTTATCCGAATAGCTCAAAAAATTTTGTAGAGAGGGCAACAAATCATAGAACACATCCCCATATAATAGGCTTTTCTTCATGCTTAAGTGTTTTCACATGCT